CTCCATGTGTCATTTGTGCTCTTATGAGTTGCTGTTCGGAGTCCAGTTACAGTGATAAATGAGCTCAGCTAGCACATTTCGTGCTTGCCCAGGAGTTACTCTGTGTTGGTATTCTTCCATTTTTAAGAATTATTACTTGAGAGAAGCCAGATGGATTCTCATGACATATGTAAGAGAATTCATGTATTTATTTCTCCTTAAAAAGAGTGAGGTTCACCACCCATGTATGTATTCCCATGTGAACTCTCAATCCCTCTTTACCTACAGAAAATTAAAGAAAGAATGGAGCTATTAAAACCACAAGTGCATCTTGAGATGTTTTATTCTAATCTCTTAACCTTTGTTGGATCCTGAATCCCTTTGAGACTATAGAGAGAGTAAAGAATTGCTCCCCCAAAATGCACATACAGTGCAGACTACATTGATAGGTAATTTCAGGGGCTTCCTAGGCTCACTGAAGGCCAAACTAGGGCTTGTGAAAAGAACATGGACCCCAAGTTAAGAATTCATATTCAATAAACCAGTAGCCCCTCTCTGTTCCCATCTAGCAGCTATAATTATCTTTAGGATGTGTCAAAGAGATTTTCTCATCTGTTTTTCTATTAGTCATAGCTACTAAATGTCAAAGAAATCTCCTCAACCAACTTCCTGCCCGTTTGCCCAGAGGCTACAATCAGAAAGCATAACTGATGACATGGATCAGTTTCTCACTGATTACCTGAGAGGAAATCTTTATTCCTTTTAGGCCTTCTAGCTTCTGGCAGCCCCGTGGCCAGGACACCGACTTGTAAGGTTTACTACCTGTGACAGCATTCATCATTGTCCAATTTAGCCACTGTAACATTAGCTAAAGTCATTGCTAATCTTGCCCTCTCCTTTTGCTAAAATTGTATTCCTGTGGTATCCTTTGGTCCACCAAATTATTAAAATAATTTCCTTTCTAACCACTCCCTTGTTTTCTGGATTTTACATGCTGTATTTTCAATTTATTATTACCAAAGTGGCATGTGGTTTTACAACAGCACCTATATGATTACTCCTGTGCACTGTTAGTAAACTCCCGTAGTATCACAGGTATAGGTCAATTTCTGATTACTGTCCGTCTCTGCTAACCTTTCCTCTCAACCTGCCTCTGGCACATAATGAAAATTTCTCAAATGCTATTTTCCAAAATTAGTCATTGTTTAAATAGTAAAAGAAATTCTTTTAAAAATAGCTTAAATAACTTAATTAAGAAGATCTACTGTAAAGCCTGTTATTTGAAGGGCTGGAAAATTCTCCTTTTTTAGAAGATTTCTTTCATTGTTTTGTTTTGTTGGGAGGGTTGCTTTTGTTTTAGCAAATCTTAAACAATTTTGTTTTATTTTTCTTGTCGAGAGGTTAGTCATTAAAGAAATAAATTCTTTAAAATGTATAATGAGACAAAAGATTCTGATATTATTTAAACAGTATTCAGTGTATGTGATGGCAGCCTATTGCATATTTTATGTATGTAGCTGTGCTGACCTCAGTTTGTATTATTAGCTTCCCTTTAAAAATGTTTTTAAAAGTATATCTAGGAAGAGAGGCAGTTGAGAGAGTGTGTAAGGCACCAAATCGAAAACAATCAGATTAAGAAAGACTCCTTAATTAATGGTGAAATCTTTAGCACCTCTCTCCAATCAGCTTCCTGTTAGCTGGCATTGTGTCCTCTCTGGAGAGACTGACTGGACCAAGAGAAAACTTACAGAGACTAAAAGGGATCTCCCCAAAAAACAGTCAGTGATGACCCTAAAGTGAAGTCTCCCATATGGAACTTCAGATAGCATTTTCATGTCTTATTGTTTTAATATAGGTAGACAGCAAAAGGCCACCAGGCATTGAGAAAAGCCTCTCATGAGAAAAATAGACCAAAACAAACATACAAGCCAAGAATGGGGTACAAAAGAAATAGAGACAATGTAATGAGCTGAAGAAAACTTGAAAACAAAACAAAAACTATCATTAATAACTACAGAGAAGTTAAAGAAAATACTGCGCTCATGAAACAGCAATGAGACAAAAAATCAGAGAACAGGGACAAATTCTTAGAAATTAAACTGTAATATCAGCAATTAACAATTCAATAAGGAAGGAAAGGGAGATGATGAAGAAATCACCCAGAATGTAGAACACATAAAGAGATGGAAAAAGAAAAGAAAATCAAATAATCCATTCAGAAGCTTTTTTCCTAATAAGAGATTCAGAATGAGAAGACAGAGGAATAAAAAGTAATAAAACTCCCAGACTGAAGGACATGAGTTTATTTGATTAAAAGTGTCTACTGAATGCTGGGCATGGTGGCGGGCGTGGCTATAATCCCAGTCACTCAGGAGGCTGAAGCGAGAGGATCTCTTGAGCCCTGGAGTTCAAGGCCTGCCTGGGCAAGACCTCGTCTCTTAAAAAAAAAATTAATTAAAAAAAAAAAGTGCCTACTGAACACCTAGTATAATGAATGGGAAACCAAGACACATGCTAAAACCACTACCCTTCTGATTTTTCCTTTGGTTTTTCTTCTGAATCTCTATGCCTCATTCCATCCTTCATGTTGTTCTCCTGCCTTCTCTCCTTGACTTTCACCTTTTCCTACTTGCTTAAACTACCTCCATATGTCATGACATCCAATTTCGTGATTTTATGTATGTCAGTGAATCCCAGATATTCAGTTGGCTCTTTCCCTTGGACTCCAGACCTACTTCCTGGAACCCTCCACTCTGGTAGCCATCAGTTCTCATACATGTCTAAAAGTGAACCTGTTTCCTTATATCTTTTTGCCTTCTAATGAACCTATTTATCTTTCTGTATTCCCAATTGCAGTAACTGAAAAAAAAATTAGATCATTAAATATGAAATGTCCAATTTTGAATCAATAGTTTATTATACCTTAAACAAGAAGCAGTACAATTAGTCAAAGTATTCATCTAAACTATCCACACAGTTTGGCCATGTTAACAGTAGCTTGTTTATGCCAGCAGTGAGGAAGCCCGGAGAGTGAATGGCAAGCCCGGAGAGTGAGTGGCAATGAAATCACAAAAGGCGTTTTCCATGGCTTGCTGAGAATTGAATATTTTTCCTTGCAAGACATGGTCCAAAGCCTAGCCTGGAAAGAAGTGGTAGTCAGTTGGTGCCAGGTCTGGTGAATACAGTAGATAACAGAGACTTTCCAAGTCCAGCTTCCGTAGTTCGAGCAGTGCAGTTTGCATGACATGTGGTCGAGCATTGCCTTGCAAGAGGATTTGCCTGTCTCTATTGACCAGTCTCGGCTGCTTAATTGCACCCTCCTCATCATTTTGTCTAGTTGGTTGCAGTAGACATCCACTGTAATGAATTGACAAGGTTTCATGAAGTTGGTCTTTCTATCTCTACAAATTTTCTAAATCTTTCTTTCTTACACAGTACTACAAAGAAGTACAAATAAGATTCATTATGTAAAATATCTCTTTACAATGTATGGTATTTTGCTATCATTATCTACAGTGTCCGTTTTAGTTATCTATCATTGCATAACAAATTGCTCTAAAACTCAGTGCCTTAAAACAACAATAGCCATGTATTATTTCTCATAGTTTCTGTGGGTACGGGATTCAATAACAGGGATGGCAAGTCTACTCCACAATGACTGTGGCCTTTGCTGGAAGACCCTAGGACTAGAGGCTGGAAACATCTGAAGGCTTGTTTACTAAGATATCTAGCAACTGATGCTGGCTGTCCCCTGGGGACCTTTCTGGGGCTATTAGCTGGAACACCAGACATGATTTCTCCATGTGGCTTGGGCTTCCCATACCATAATGGCTAGGTTGCAAAGGCATGCATGTCAAGAGAGAAAAAAGGGAGAGAGAGAGAGAGAGAGAGAGAGAGAGTCACCCAAGTAGAAGTCATACTGTGACATGTGGTCCTCCAGATCCCCAACTGTGGCCTCTCGATCGAATCCAAACTTTGCATTCAGTCAAAGGCCGCATGCAAGGATCCAGAAGGCCAGAGGTTCCCCATCCACTGTAACTGCATTCTTTTGGGTGAGACAGTTATAAAAGTCCACTCAGCTTCAACGGAGAAGAACATGGACCCCACCTCTGAATGGAGGCATGTCAATGTTACATTGTGAAAAGAGCATGTGAGATGAGATAAGAGTTGGTGTGGCCACATTTGGAGATGTAGTCTGCCATAATGTGTGTCTAACATAGTTCCCAATTTCACTCCTAGGCGTATTTCTCTAAAATTAACTCCTTTAATTTACCTTAACTGATAGTTAATCATTCGAGAAGACAGGGATCCTCCTTTCTCTAATTAGGAAAATGAGATGTACACATTGAAAAGATGAAAACCATGAGATAACGATGTAGCTATTCATAGACAAAAATATGTACATGTTTCTTGAAAATGAGATAATTATTAAAATGTGTCTGTTAAAGAAGCTGTTCTAATTAATAGCTTTAATGTTGTTTGAAAAGTGCTTCCTGGTCAAGTAAACATTTTAATATGAATAACATTGTTTATGAACATTGTATTTATAGTTTGGGTATCAAAGCATTTTTCTAGGTTCTTCATTGACTTGAAATATTTAAATACATAATTGCTTCCTTTCCTGACATATATACCTAGGGCAGATAGGTTATGAAGTATATTTTTATTATATAAATTCTCTAACCAAATTACCTCTCTAAAATGTCAGTTTCCTCATCTGCAATATGGAAATAATAATAGTACCTACCTCACAGAGCTGACATGAGGATTAAATGAGTTAATGTGTGTAAAGTGCTTGGTACCTAGTAAGTGCTAAGAAAAAAGTTAGACATAGAAAATACATGGATGTGTTAATGATATTTTGTATGTATGTATATATGAAAAGCCATAGCATAATTGAATTCATTTTCAAAAAGGTATTCAGAGGGTAAGGCAATATAGTTAATGAAATTATTTTGTCAAGTTCTTTCATTTAAGAAGAACATATTGTTTCTTACTTTAATTATTTACTTTTTTCCTAGTTCGAAAAAGAAAAACAGCATGATATTCGATCATTCTTTTTACCAAAACCAAAAAAAAGACAGTTGGTGACCTCCTGTGATGAATCAAGGATATTCCGGGAAAAAAAAACTATAGTGGCATCAGACCACAGAAAAATAGTTGCAAAAGATACCACTGATTATGAAAGAGATTTTGAATCTGAAGCTAAAAGATTTAAATCGGTTGCCACCAACGACCACTGCAGTGCCTCTGAGGAGACACCATCATGGCCCAGGCAAACCAAAGCTCCACTCATGGACAGTGTCCATGAAGCCAAGGCCCAGTCAACCACCCTAGCTGTTCCTAGAGAAGGCTGGCAGTGTAGTTTCTGTACCTATATCAATAATTCAGTGTTACCTTATTGTGAAATGTGTGAGAATCCTCAAGGCAGTGCTGGTGAGTACACAGAAGGTGACCATGGAGGTGGGGGCTGGCAGTGGTGTCTTTGGATAACCTGTGCTTTTAGAGACTGCTGTTATCAAAGGTTAGTGTGACTCAGCACGACTTTAGCTTTTAAACTGGAGTAAGAACTTCACATAGTGAAGACTGAATTTATCCCTTGTGGAATGTGCAAATCTCCCAGTTCTGTCAAGAATTTATATCCCCAAGCGTCTGTGATATGGCATTAATTTGGCACAAATGGACATTTCTGATTAATGTCAGCAGGATGTGAATTCAGTGGGTAGGAAAAGAAGCTCTGTTACTATGGTAGCAAATATGCCTTATAGTCATAGACCTGCTGTTTTCTTTCCTCTGTAGATAATACTTGTTTTTAAGGAAATTATAGATTATTTTTATGTTTAAATAGCAAAATAATCCAGTGTAGCTTCTTTGTCTAGTCAGTATACATTGTGCCATTTTTCTTTCTTGACAAATTATCAAAATTCATTTATGGATCTTCTTTTAAGAACCAATTTGATGTCTGTTTTATGGGTTCATCTGTTTCTAAAACAAAGTCAGAAATCATAAACTTACCTCAGGTATGTTTTTATAGCATGATATGCCATTTCCTAATGTTTAGTTTCTGAAATGGTTATTAATACCCATGGTTGTTATAAAAAAAAGATCATTAGTTTTCTTTTGTTTCCAATTTTAGAGAGCATTTTTATGGTAATGAAAAATGCCCAGTTGACAATTTTGGAAACTGGAAGTACTCATTTTATTTTATCAACTGTAATAATTTTACACATCCAATTTTCCATCATACATTAATTCTTCAGAATATTGACATTGACCAAGACTCAGCTAAGATATAAACTCCGGTATTGCAATTCCTTCTTCCTGCCTTGCTTTCCTCTCTATCTTAGTTCTGATCTGAAGGAAAATTTAATCAGGAGCCGAATCTTCCCTCTTTCACTTCTGGGTGCTCCTACCAAAATTGACAAGTCTGCCATCTGGGCGGTTATATTTGTAATGTGGACGCCTGTTGTCTATGAACTAAATTGGAATCACAAGTTTTTTCTGTGTAATATCCCTACCACAATTAGCATGATCCCATGCAATTCCCAACTGCTACAGGGAATAAAAATAAAGTATATCGTGACTATAAAATAATGTCCGTTCACATTAAGTATATACCTTGAGAGATTTAGCAACAAAAATCATAGTTTAATATGGGTTTTATTGTTCTGATTTTTCCTCTGTGATACCAAGAGCAACAATGAAAGTTCCTAGATGCATTATTTAATAATAAGCAACCTGTCAAGCAACTTAAAAAAAAACCTGACTACCTTTTTTGAATATAAAAGTTTCTGATTAGAGAGAAATATTCTAAGTAACAATGATATTACTATATAAAAAAGTTATAATTATTAGATTTACATTACTATAAATTGGCAATCTTGATTTGGATGCCCCCCAACAGTACTGAAAAGCGAAATTAATTCTAATTCATCTAAATTTTTAAGTAATGCCTTCCATATAACACTTTGAGGAAAGAGTAGAATTCAGAAACTTAGAAGAGCAATAGTAGAATGTTACAGACTACAAAGGTTACTAATACAGTCTCTAGTGCAGTAGAGAAAATTTGGTATAGTAGATATTGAATGCTAATATTTGTCAGTATGTAGCACTTCTTTTGTGCTTTGTTCTTAACATCTGTATTTCATACAATATCTTATACCTCATATCGTCCAAATTTTTATCTCCCACTCGAATTCCAGGCTGGATCTATCCATTGGCCTGTGTAACATCTTCACCTGGGTGTCCTATGGATTCCTCAGGCTTAACACGTCCAAAATAGAACTCTCAATTCATCACCACTGCCACATCTAACACCCAAATCTTCTCTTCTTTGATCTTTACTACGTTATGCTAAAAACCTAGGCAGTGTCCTTGATATCTTCCTTGACTTCTACACTCAATCCATCAAGTAACCTCCAGAATAAATCTTGATTCCAGGCACGTTATTGCTACCATCCTACGCAAGCCACCATCATCTTTTTCCCAGACATTAATAGCTTCCATACTAGTCTCCCTCGTTGTGATCCTTCTGTGCACAGCAGCCAGAGCGATCCTTTAAAAACTTAGATCATGTTTATTCCTTTGCCTAACACTGTATAATAGCTTACAGTTATATTTAGAATCTAATTCAAGAATATAGGCCCTGAGGCCAGGCTTCCTAGATTCCTGAACAGCTCTCAAATCAAATGGGACTCCTGAGAGCTTGTCCCTTACGACTTTTGCTATGGTAGTACTCCCTGCAACCCCTTACTCACAAAACCTTTGTTGTGTTGTTTATTTATTTGTTTACGCTATTGTCTATCTCTGCCACTTAGAATGGAATCTCCAGGAGGCAAGCACTTACCTGTCTTGCTCCTTGCTGTCTCTTCAGCACCTAGACTAGTACTGGGTGTATAGTAGGTTCCTGATTTATGTTTTAAAAGAAGGAACAAACATTATTAACTTTGTTTCTTTTTATAAAACATAGCTGTGACTTTTTAAACTGTACTTTTAAATGTAAATTATTGTTCGATTTTAATAATTGTACATATAGATAGCCTCAACCACATCCAGGATAAAAACAAAAGTGAGAAGGATGATTCTCAGAAAAACACGTCCAAAAAAGTTCAAACTAGCTCAGACTGTGAAAAACAAGTCCTTGCACAGTCAGAACCTGACCAGTTGGCTGAGAGCAAGGAAGAAACATCAAAAATTCAAAGGGAAGACAGATTTACACCCCAGCCAGGTAATGGTAAGTCTTGTTTCCATCTCTAGCATCCAAATAATAGCTACATACTTTAATACGTAATACCGTTATTAGATTTGCAATTTACTACCTTGTTCCAGGTTCCTTTTATTCCCTTTTATATTAAAAACACCAACCATTTGTAACCACATGCTTAAACGCCAGATGGCTACAAGAGCTGAGTGTGTCTGTTGGCATTCAGACATTACACATAGAGCAAAACCGATAAATAGCTGCATGTGCTGCCACCAGGCCTGCTGCCCAGCCTCCACTAAGCCTCGCCCATTCACACAGTGAACGTGCTGTTTTGATGTTTGGGAGGTGCTTATGGACAAAACAGTAAGATCGACAGATGATTAACAGCCGCTTAGCATATCGTTAATCCTTTACACAAAAATTCTTTTAGATGGCTATACTTAATTAGCATATTTTTAAAAAGTTTTTTTGGAAAAAAATGTTTTTAAGGAACATAATTTCAAGGCTATATGAATCATGACTGCATTTGGAACCAACTTTGTAATGTTTCACATTTATTTACTTTTTGGTTGATTCCATTCATTATTTATAGCTGTGATGGTTAGCAAATACCAGCCTGTATGGCATACATCACTATCTTTTATGGGCCAGCTGGCAAAAGCCTATGAGTACTTTTGGGTTATTTTTCTTGTTACTCATTTAGTGACCACAGTAACCTACAGATAGATATTCTTATTAAAATAAACCCAAAATTGTTGTGATGAGACTACTAAAGTTTTTCTTTAGGTTATTAATAGTTGCTTTTAAACACTGATAAAATTTGGAGTCAGATTCATAGCCTTAAAATGAAGTGTTGGCCAGGCACAGTGGCTCACACCTGTAATCCCAACAGTTTGGGAGGCCAAGGCGAGAAGATTGCTTGAGGCCAGGAGTTTGAGACCAGCCTGGGCAACATAGCGAGACCCCGTCTCTACACGAAAAATAAGAAAATTCGCCAAATATGGTAGCATGCACCTATAGTCTAGCTACTTGAGAGGCTGAGGCAGCAGGATCACTTGAGCCCAGGAGTTCAAGGCTGCAGGGAGCTATGATCATGCCACTACACTCCAACCTGGATGATAGAACAAGACTGTGTCTCTTAAAAACAAAAAGAAAAAACAAAACAAACACAAATCATCATAGATTTCTGCATCTGAGAAAGTAATTAAAAAGGTCATGGAGGAACTATGACAGAGGTTAAGAGCACAGGCTCTGGAACTAGATTACTGAGTTTAAATCCTCTTACTACTGGTGTGACCCTGGGCAAGTTAATGTGCCTCAGTTTCCTCTTGTGTAAAATGCACTATTTATTTCTAAGAGGTGTTACTATATGTACTTAGAGGAGTGCCTAGCACATTCTATGTGTTTGCTAAGTGTTAACTATAATTATTATTTAGACCAGCTTTGATAATCCTTTCTCCCTTGAAGAATAAATTGGACAGTAAGACTGAGAAAGGGCTAAATAAGAAAAGATTATTAGAAAAGAAGCTTGTCTACTCATCTCCTTTTGTGCATGTGCGGCATCAGGGCATAGGGAATCAGGCATAAGTGGCCCTCAACATAGCTGTATTGCTGCTGATAATCAAAATGGTGCCCATTCAGTCTCAACTCAAATCCACCCTAGCAAAAGGGATAGATTCTAAACTCCTTCAAGATCAATAACAATTCTTGTTGACAAGAAATCCTTCCTATGTCTAACTTGTATTTTTTTCAGCTAATTCTGAATCTGTTTGTTTCTTGTTAGGTCATTAGCAAAAATGTGAAGCAACTAGTGCCACCTAAGCTGATATGTTCTTAGATTGCCTATCACGGTAGTTTTATTTCAAGCCTAGACACACCTTCTTTGTCAAAGAATACTGATATTTTTTACATAGCTATTTCATCATTCTAACCTACAGAAGATTAAAATAAGCTATTTTAGAGAGCCTCAGGTTCTCTTTTTTCTTCTTTATTAGAACAGTTGAAGAGTTCAGACACTTTGCCAGTGTATGACACCTTAATGTTTTGTGCAAGTAAGAACACTGACCGGATTCACCTCTATACTGAGGTAAGCATCATGCAATTCTGTAGCTTGAAACATAAAAATGACTTCCTTTTTTCATTTTTCAATGGAAATATTTAGTTTTATTAACAATGAGACAAGCATCTAATTATTTGCCTTCTTGAAGCTAATTTCTCAATTCCTGTGTAAAATCTAAAGACCATGAGAGACAAAACAATGTAATCATTGAGAATATAGACCTCAAGGCCAGACTGCTTCAACTCAAATCTGTTACTAACTGTGTAGTCTTGGACACTTTACTCAAGTGCTCTGTGCTTCAGTTTCCTCAACTATAGAATATGGAGAGGATCTGTTGCAAGGATAAAATGAGCTGAGTCCTGCGAAGCGCTTAGCACAGTGCCTAGCCAGCATGAACTCTCAATAAATGTAGCTCCTGCACTGCTCATTTGTAGCAACAGGAGCAGCAGTAGACCTGCTTATTCATATTGAGTAAATTCTAGGAAGCTTTTGTCATATGATTGCTGATTCCTGCTATAGCCTAGCTTTGCAGTGCCCGAAATTTTTTTTTTTTGTTTTAGAGACAGGCTCTCACTCTGTCGCCCGGACTAGAGTGCAGTGGCGTTATAGCTCATGGTAATCTCAATCTCCTGGGATCAAGGAATCCTTCCACCTCAGCCTACCAAGTAGCACACCACCACACCTAGCCAATTTCTTTTTAATATAGAGACTGGATCTCACTGTGTTGCCCAGGCTGGTCTCCAACTCCTGGCTTCAAGTGATCCCCACCTCAATCTCAGCCTCCCAAAGTGCTGAGATTATAGGCATGAGCCACTGTGCCCAGCCCCAGAGAGCTTTTGTTTATATGGGTTATATCTATTGATATTTCCTATATTTGAAATTAAAATGGAGGCTCTTAAATATATTCATTTATTCACTTAAAAGTAGCAATAATAAACCCATTATATATTTATATAAACAACATTTTAGTAAAAATAATTATCTTTTCTAAGGCAAAATATATTTAATGAGAAGAGTATTATTGTTTTACATTTTTAGCAATTTTCTCTAAAGTCTTAATAGAAGACAATGGGATTCTCATATCTGCCTCTGCATTCAGTTTGTTGAGATATCACATCATGTACCCACTGGAAAAACTTTACCATACATTTGTGAGAGAATGAGAGAGAAAAATAGTATTAATATCTTACTATTAATATGAAAATGCTTCTGACTTTGTGGCACCTCTGGAAGGATCTCAGGTATCATGTAAGAATCTATGGCCTAGGTAAAGTAGTGTGAGTATTTGAGGAAAAAATTGCTGAGATTATGAATCTATTACTTGGTCTACAATTGCAAATTTCTAATCTTTATAATATTTGTAACTTTTTAAACTTGTGGTCCATTTTATTGGTATGTTAAAAGATATGTTAGAGATAACCAAACTTTCAGTTATAGATTTTTCTACTAAACGAAATATAGATATAGATAGATGATGTGCCATGTAATCATCTTCGGTTAAGAAGAGAAGGCTAGGCCGGGCGTGGTGGCTCATGCCTGTAATCCTAGCACTCTGGGAGGCCGAGGCGGGCGGATTGTTTGAGCTCAGGAGTTCGAGACCAGCCTGAGCAAGAGCGAGACCCCATCTCTACCAAAGATAGAAAGAAATTAATTGGACAGCTAAAAATATATAGAAAAAATTAGCCGGGCATGGTGGCGCATGCCTGTAGTCCCAGCTACTCGGGAGGCTGAGGCAGTAGGATTGCTTGAGCCCAGGAGTTTGAGGTTGCTGTGAGCTAGGCTGACGCCACGGCACTCTAGCCCGGGCAACAAAGTGAGACTCTGTCTCAAAAAAAAAAAAAAAAAAGAAGAGAAGGCTAGATCATGAACACCAAGATCCCCCGCAGCCTCCACCATGGGACCAAAGCTGAGAGAGACACCAATAGCCAAGCCAGGCACAATACTCCTCTGGTAGGCTTGCAGCCCAGTCTACCATGTGGAGCCACTAGACTCCAATGGTGACCCAGACTACAGAGAGTACCAATAACTCCTCTGCTCAGTGCCTGAGCCATCCTCATCACTTGTGTCGGAGGAGCTGTAGGCTGTGCTGCTTAGACCATCACATGAGAGGAACAGAGAAGTGGTCCCCAGATGAGCTTGAAAGTAGATAAGCCAACAGCAGACACCAGACAGAGCACACCACAGGAATTCAGAAGCCCTTAAACTCCTTAAGGACTTAGCCTATACTCTGTATAGTGAAACATCTGCCTCCTGGATCATCTGATCAGTGTTTTATCCCTCTTTGGGTGGAGATAGGGAGAGAAACTGTAAACTCCAGGTAGAGCGTAGAGCATGCCAAACTAAACGAGAGCAACAGCCTCGCTGACCGGTATTCTGGCTCTGCCACCCAGCCTATGTAGCATGGACCACCGCACCTCCTTGACGTCTCTGTTAATGGCCTCAAATGTATTTTTATGACTGTTACACATCCCTGTATCATAAAATGTTATCACTCAGTTAATTTTCTAAACACAAGACTCTAAGTAGATGAAATGTTAACCTGTCTTTTTGCAGGTACAGTGGAGTTGAGATGAAAACTTTCCTTTTCACTTTAGAAGAGCTAAAGTAAAATCTAGAAGTAGAAATTTGGATAAAAAGCCTAGGTGACTGCCTAAAAGAACACCCCTTAAAAGGAAGAGCAGTAACAGACATTTAGCATCCTGTGTTGTCTTAAAACTATTCATTTCAGCCAAAATCCCAAGTCTAACTCAGGGTTTAGAACTATATATTATAATTAGGCCGGGCGCGGTGGCTCACGCCTGTAATCCTAGCTCTCTGGAAGGCCGAGGCGGGCGCATTGTTTGAGCTCAGGAGTTCGAAACCAGCCTGAGCAAGAGCGAGACCCCGTCTCTACTAAAAATAGAAAGAAATTAATCAGACAACTAAAAATATATAGAAAAAATTAGCCAGGCATGGTGGCACATGCCTGTAGTCCCAGCTACTCGGGAGGCTGAGGCAGGAAGGATCGCTTGAGCCCAGGAGTTTGAGGTTTCTGTGAGCTAGGCTAACGCCACGGCACTCTAGCCTGGGCAACACAGTGAGACTCTGTCTCAAAAAAAAAAAAAAAACTATATATTATAATTATATATTTAAACTTTACTCAATATGTAAGTACTTTTTGTGGTTTTTTTCCCAAGTAGTGGGAGCTGTAGCATTTCTTTTTGGCCGAGAGAATTAGAATATGAGTTCCACTATTATTCATTTAATAGATTCTCGTGTGAGAGGTTCTTCTTCCCCTTTATAAGAGAAATACCTCTACTCATGTTTAACTGACTACAGCCCTGTATGTGGTTACTTTTTATTCTTAAGATTTCAGGATATTGTGCAGCTGATCGTTGGAACCTAAACACACTCCTGCTTACTCTCCAGGTGGTAGATTGGCAGAGTCCTCATGGACTAACTTTGCGACATTGCTTTCGGGGAGCAAATTTTAAAATAATTTCTTTAGAATTATTCTTCCTCCCTTCTTCCTTGCTCTGTAACAATGGACAGGTACATGAACCCATTTGGGGAAGGTTATTCAGATTATTCCTTGACGTCCTTCTTTGATGTGATACTTAACATTGTCAATGATTATAAATGTGTTTATTTGAGATTTGGGAGTGGACATGCTACTGTTAACTTTTAGGATGTGATATTCTTCTGTATTGATTTGCAGTGTCCAGTATTATTGTTTTGATACTTGTTTTTGAGATTAGGCAGTAGAGCAGAATGTGACAGGGTAGTAAACAGCATTCCAGGCTGAAGGCATAAGGCTCTGGTTAGGCACAGGCAGTGGCGGCACAGAGAGCTCAGCAGAGAGCCTGCCTCCCTCCTGGCCCACCGCCCCGCAGGGGAGCCCTGTGGGATAGACCTTGTCTAGATAAACTGTAGTTTGTCTCTTGGGAGACAGGGCATGTTATGCCGTAATATAATTACTTTCTTTTAAATTATTACAAATGCCTACACAAAAATGGATTAATAATGTCTCTGTAATCTATAATCAGGATGGAAAACAGATGAACTGTAATTTCATTCCTTTGGATATAAAATTAGACCTTTGGGAAGATTTACCAGCAAGCTTTCAGCTGAGACAAAATCGCTCATTGGTAAGAATAGTTTTAAATAAAACAGCTTCATATGTTTTAAATAAAATTGTTTTAGTAATTTTAATGATCATTTTTAGTTTAGTAAAAAAGTACTTTGTGGCCTTTTGCAGAGTCAAATCACTGGTTGCATTTTCATCAATCTAGGCAGTGTCTACTAATTACCCCGGTGCTAAGAATAAACATAAAATCTGCTTCCTTGGCAAATGATCACACCTAGAGTTGCTGTTTCTGTGGATAAAATCATCCTCATATCATTTAATTTCTCATTCACAGGATTAGCAACTGTGATATTTGTATCTGACAGAATCACATTTTATCTTTTAAGGTTAAGTTCTAACAATGACAAATTCTGAGAGCAGGAATAATTCCATGTTGGGTGATTCTTGATTCATTGTCAGAAGCACCAGCATGCAGCTCCAGGCCAAGTACCTGCCAGGGAGGCCTTAATTCTGATCTGTGGCTGATTTACCTTCACTGCTGAGAAGGTTCATCATATACAGGGATTGACCCAGCATGCAGTAGACCATTTTTTACGAGAAAATAGTGATTACTTTTTTACCCTTTGGGTGGAAATGAAGCATTACTCACAGGTCATCCGCACCTGTCTTAAAGGAAAAAGTAGTAGTACCTGTTTTCTTTGGTAATATCTAATCCTGATTCTCAGATTCCCTGATAATAGCCAGTTATGGATAATTGACTAGTAAGTAAGAGTAGTGGTAAGCCTAATAAAAATGTCCCAGATTTATTGATGGCTTTTTCCTGTGGTAACTTAGGCATCATTTACAAAGTGATTCTCAGATGCTGCACCGTCATTCTGTCACCCAGTTTTGCCTCTGCCTTCACTGCAGTATGTGCTTCCACACCTCCTCTGGTCTCAATGAGCACATTATCACTGTTGGTCCCTATGTGTCTTAAGGGCATACATTGTGTGTCCTGAAACGTGCCTTTAGAGAATCTTTGGATTGAAAGAGAGCTCTTGAGAAATGGCCACAGATAGTTTACAATAAAGATATGAAAACTGCATCAAATTGAAGAAAGCCTTAAATTGTGGAATTCAAAAGCCTGTATTGGGGATATAACAAACATCAGTTTCCTGATGTTGTAAACAGCCTCACTTTCAAAGGAAGATGCCTGATAAGCTGTTAACTCATTTTATTATCTCATTTT